GACCAATCAGTGATAAATGAAGAGAGAAGCTATGCAACAGAAACCAGGTCCACGCAATAGGAGTAATAGAGGTCTTATCCCCTTTATGGGAAATATCTCATGATAACAATCAATTGCACCTGTAGGTATCTAGCTGGTGTTAGTTTTTAAGATAAAAGTAGATTGGCATCAATCTGGAGTAACTATTTATTTTATACCTAATCATGGCCAGTAATGCTACAAAGAGACTTAGAAGATTTATAACATTTCAATATTAAACACTCTCTAGATATATCTTGTAAATATAGCGCTAATAGGCCACTATTGAGATATTATAATATTGTCATATTAAGTTACATTCAGTAAAATCATCATGAGCTTTCAAAAAATTATAATGCTGAATATATTCAGATAGAAAAAAATACATGCAAAATTATGCTCTGGGAAAGTTATTTTGACTTTTAAAACAGACTCATTTCAGACAGCATATAAAACGTAAGTTGGTGATGCTTATATGAGACAGTTAAGAGAAGCTAATTTGCACTGCTGAATGGAATGGCATACACACTATACAGAGTCGGCTTTTGAAGTCTTGTGACTTATAAATGTCTTAAAGTATCAGAAGATATTGCATGCTGCCAATGAAGTACAGAAAATGAAGTGCAATGAGGACATTTGTATATTAGGTCGTGATGAAGTTAACAGTATTTGAAATGGTAAACACCTTAGGACAGTGACCTTCTCTTTCTGCTTAATCAGCATCATGTTGACTATTAGCACTCTGAAATAACAATAATGTATGTTCTTTCAAAATTAGGTAGTCAATTAAAATACTTAACTGCTGATTTGACCTAAAAAGTTCCTGGTAGTATTAAGGCTTACTCAGCAGCTAGAAAAGTTATCATTTAACATTTTGTCTGGTTATACATATTTGACCTTGTTTGCTATTTTGATGCCACTGTACCCTAGCTAATAGTTTGATTCTTTAAATTGCTTTTTTCATGACCGAGAACATTTCACACAATTAGCAAATGCTGGCAAATGCAGTTACCTAAAGAATCTCTTTGTAATTACAGTTGTTAAAGGCCATGCTATAAAAACACAGCATACCACAGTTGCAGATGTCACAGCCTACAGCTATATTGCTTTCTCCATAAAAAGAGCACATTTCTAATTTTATTTGGACTTTAAGTATATAAGTTAACAATGTACCTTTATATTTGGTAGGTGGTGAGAAAATAATTGTGTAGCGAGAAGGCAAGGAGAAGTCCACTAATTAGCTTACTTAATCCTGTCAGGATGGAAATTGGGTTTCCTGGCAAACACAAGCAAGTTCTGCAATTTCCAAACGTACAACAGAAAGAGGCTTGAAAAACTGGACTGGAGCAAACTAGCCATCACCTAGAACTGAGCCCACCTAGTTTCCTCACTCTTACCCATACACCAGGAATGGGAAGCAGAGCCGAGAGACTAAGTTATACTAGACATCTCTTGTTAAGTCTGTCTTATTCTTCACAGTGTCTAAATACATAACACAAGGTGTAGGCAACTACCTGCCCACAGCTGGCAGAAGCATTTTACTTCCTTGTGAATTTTTCCTCTGTTCACTTTGGGCCTGTTTAAGTTAGAGCAGTGGCGGGCAACTTGCAGCCCAAGAGCTACATGCATCCCATTGGGGTTCTGTGTGTGTCGTGTGAGACACTTGGCTTACCGTAGTTCACATGAAAAGTTTCCAGATGCTGCTGGATTCCATCCACATCATTTTTTTCCTACCAGTATTACTAAAATGACACACATGTATAGCAAGGGAATGTGAAATAAAAAGCATGCTAATTGCACACAACATTGTGAGAAACGTGCACTCTCTCTGAATCCAATCAAAGTGCTGCTATGGTTCAATTGGTCAACTCCGCAAATTCTAGGTACACAAGCACAGTTCGCAAAAATTCCCTGTCCCAGAAGAACATCTTGGTTACCACAATCTTGTGGCCTGCTAAGATGGAGGGCCACTCATGCGGCCTACTCACTAGCCTCGGTTGCCAATCACTGGTTTAGGGAAATTCTTCTTCCATTACATTAGAGAAGGACTATAAAGGCCCTCATTCACCCACATTCCAGCCCCTCTTTCCTGGAGAGTCACTTCACTACTGGCACTGTTACGTGCTCTGATGTGGGCATTTGATTCTAAGACAGGCAATAGCCTGAACGCGCAAAATCAATCCTAAATGAGTATGTAGTATCATGTGCCTTATTTAATTCCTTAAGCAAATGTGGTGAAATATCATACCTATTCAATATGGTGGGGTTGCCTGCTTTCCACCAGTGTTTTAAGAATGGTTTAAGATTTCATTTCTGTTACCTATCCCCACAGTAAGGTAGACACCAGCTGATTATGGCTGGCACAAAAGTCACTCTAAACTGGAACGTATTTTGGACAAATGCCTTATTTGTAACTATATCTGGAAATCCATGAGTCTAGATTATATTTGGATCCATGAGCAGAGTTTATATTTGTTTAAGCATTCTAAACATTGAAAGTCATCTACAGAAACTGCTCCACAATAATGAGTAATAAGGGGATCTCTTTGATCACCAAACATTTTTGCCATTGAGCTGCAAGGTATGTTCAACCCTATCTAGATAAATGGTTTTCCTTCATAAAAGAAATAATATGCATAGACCAAGCCAAAAGAACTAGCACAGCTGCTGTGAAAATGGATTGCAAAACATTTAACAAATTAAAGGCAAATAATGTGACTAAAAACCTAGCACTTACTTGATATTGTTTTTTTACAGTAGTCAATGCATGAAAGCAAATGGTTTAACACTAATAACTTGGTTATTAAAACCAAAATTCCACACCTAACAAGGGACTGTTAGCAATGAGAATTTCCATTGGTTTCAATGAGAGCAAAATCAGGCTAACCATGTCTGCTTTTGAATGTCTCACCTTTAAAATTAAATGGTTGGTGTAACTGGTGCCTGTAACCAGGTAGTCTGGTCCTTTTTTAAAAGGTTTGGGGGGGCAGGAACAGCATTTTGGAAAGAAGCACAGCAGGCAGATGGGAAAAGCAGCCACAACTGAAATACTTTTAGTGATTGGAGCGGATAACTCCCGGCCATGGGATATAAAGGAGAGTACCAACTCTGTCAGAACAGGAGAGGAATAGAAGAGTGCTCCTCTGCAGCAGAAGACCATGAAGCTATGTCTAGACAGCAGCACTATTTCAGGATATCAGAAGTATCCCAAAATAGCTATTCCTTGTCTTTAAACATGCCTGTTATTTTGAAATAGATTTAGAAATAATGGGCGCACCACTGCAGCATCCCATAAAGATTAAGGGACTTTTTGAAATAGCACTTTATTTTGAAATTAGATAAAAATAAGAGCTACAATTTGCGTAGTTCACATTTCATATCTTATTTTGAACTACAGGTGCAGTGTGGATGTACCCTGAGAGGCCAGGAAAGCCCTGTATAACCCCTATACTCGGGGAGGGTCCAGAGCACTGAGTTTTTGGAAGCCTGAGGAATCCAGTTTTAATTGAGGCTGTGAGGGCATGGTTTACTTGACGCTAGTATCTAGAATACATGGATTATCCATAACTAGAAGTCTTTAAATCATGATTTGAGGATGTCACTAACTCAGCGAGAGGCTATGGGTCTAATTTCAGGAGAGAATAGGTGAGGGCCTGTGGCCTGCAATGTGCAGGATGTCAGATTAGATGATCTTCAAATGGAGTGTAAGCCCTGCAGGGGCAGGGACCATTCTCTCTATAGACTGTATTGCCTACCCCAGTGTGGTTCAACCTTGATTAGGGCTTTTGAGAGAACTGATAATTACAGTAACTGTTTTGTCTGATTCAGAAATTTTAAAAAGCACTCCTCTGATCTCTTTAATATAGGGTTCTATGATTAATGGAAGTTTCTCACCTTGTACAGTAACAATGGTTCTTCAAGATGTGTCCCCCCGTGGGTGCTCCACTGTTGGTATCGTGCTCATCCCAGTGCCACAGATCAGAGACCTTTCTAACAGCGACCTGGGGGATGGTGCATGTCGTTCGTGCCTTTGCAGTTTGCATGGCCCATCTGCCCTCAGTTTTTTCATGTACGCCCATTTGATAGAGCTGATCTGAAGAAGCAGTGTAGAAGGGTGGGTAGTGGAGCATCTACGGGGACACACATCTTGAAGAATAGTCATTACTGCACAAGGTGAGTAACTTCCTTTTCTTCTTCTTCGAGTGATGTCCCCATGTGGAAAGAACTGTGCTGGCAACAGTCAAAGTCATGGCCATCCTTATGGAAATTGCATAATGTCGCATGAAGGTATGGTTAGATGACCAAGTGGCCACACAGAAAATGTCCTTAAGAGGGGTGCCACTTAGGAACACTGCAGCTATGGCTCATGTTGAATAATCCCTGGTGCAGGGTGTGGTCTGCCTTGGAGGGAATAGCAGTGGATAATAATTAATGAAATGAAACTGGAAATGCGCTGAAAGGAGAGAGGTGCTCCATGAGAACGTTCAGCAAGTAAGACAAATAAAATGTGTGATTTGTGAAAGGATCACGTACGGTCTATATTGAATGATAGAGCCCTGTAGACATCGAGGGTATGTAGAATGGTCTCTTCATAGGCAACATGAGGCTTTGGACATGAAATTTGGTAGGATGATGGGCTCATTAATATTGAAATCGGAGCAATTTCTGCAGAAAGGAGGGGGGAGGTCAAAGGATTACTTTGTCCTTCTGAAATACAGTATAGGGTGGAGAGACTGAGAGCGGCAATCTTGCTACCACGTTGTGCAGATGTGATTGCTATTAAAAGAACTGTCTTTATTTTTAATATGTGTAAGTCTTTGTCTGTTTGTCTTGCTTCTTTTTTCTCTGTTTCTCTCCTTTTTTTTTTTTTTTTTTTTGAGAGGCCCTTTTTTTTTTACAGTGTGAAATGAAGCCATATGAGAGAGAAGGCTTTGACTTTTAATTTTCTATGTAGTATTTCCTACTATCCTCCTATTGTTTCCTTTTATTGTTTTAAACAAAGGCCTGAGGGACCAGGGGCTGGAGGCTAATAGTGAGGCTCCCTCAGAAAAATGTTAAAGCAACTATTTACAGGGGAACTTTTCAAGTAACAATTAAACTAAGTAGTAAGAACAACAGGAAACCATTTTAAAAGAAAAAACTAATTCTTCGTAAAATCTTTTCTATAGGAATCAGAAGGTAGGAGAGAACTCTAGGTCTGTCTGCGATCGAGGGTGGTAATGAAGGAACTGAGGGCAGATGGGCTATGCGCACAAACTGCAAAGGGGCTAATGGCATGTACCCCCATTGTGCATACATGGCCCGGCCAGATACTGCAAGAAAGGTCTCCAATCTGTGGCACCAGGAGAAGCCCAAGACCAACAGTGCAGCACCCACAGGGACATCACTCGAAGAAGAATAAAAGTTAGTTTTTATTGCATCTGTTTGACTTAAAAGCTAACAATACTGACAGAGAGCAGCCACTGTATGTCAGGCAATATATGACACCTTTAATATTTTAATAGTAAATGTAAATGAATCTAGCAAATTCCCCAAAAAACTATAATAAAATTTATTTAAGCATACACCAAACAATGATGGCAAACAACATAAGGAAATAATGAAATTGCATTAAGTTTTGCAGGAATCACTTCATTAATAGCCCCGTAATATTAAAAGTTTTTACAATTTTAATGCAAAATAAACATTTGTTTATCACTGGGGATTAGTCAGCACACTCACAGATCAATGTTACCTCAGTAAAATATGTAGCTGTCTCAGGACCAGGTACACAACCAGTCCAACTGATTTTGTTTCCTAGCCCTTCCATTTCAAAATTTCCCACTTAACAGGAACCAGAAGCAACCTCCTGGGTCAAATGCAGCAGGTTGGTGTTTAACCCTTCAATTACATGCTGAGTTTTCCTCAGCTGAAAACTTAGTTAACCTTCAAGTGTGTTAGCTGTGGCTGACTCAAACAAGAAATCAAGCACCCTGCTAGCTGTCAAAGGAACACAAAGATTCTGGCTCAAAGTGAGCAAGACATGTCACTTCACTAAGAGCACAACAAGTGTTTGTGTCTACATAGCTACATTTGAGTAGCTTGAAACCTTGGGGATTGACCTGACAGCAATCAATGCAGAGAATAAATCAATGACTCAAGACTAACCATTGCAAAGCCAAAAAATGTTAATGGCACCTCTTGGAGGTCTTCTTCCTACCTCCTGTACAAAGTAATTCCAGCAGGTTCAGGGAACTTCAGCAAACACTGAACCCATGGTAGACTATAACAATCTGCTGAGCAGAGATGACACCCGCATAATCCCCAATCACAGACACCTCAGGAGGAAAGCCAGCAGCTGCCAGGTGAGATGCAAGAAGTGACACTGGTGCTCAGACCAGTTGTCATAGCTGCTGCACATCGAGGGGAGCTGTCTGGGGACCACATTGGGGGTGGGGGGCAGCCCAGAATGGAACTGGCAGAAGAGGAACCACTCGAGGAAGAGTCTGATAAGTCTCTGCCAACATGTTTGTTATCAATATATGGGTGGAAGAACTCTCCAATATACGGTCCAATTCAGAAATTAACTAACAGTCGAAGTCATATGCCTTCAATCAGAAAGGATCTCATACCAATTTCCCCACACTTTCTTCCTTTTCCCTGAGAGCACACTGAATGCAAACTGGACACCAGGAACTGAGAGGGAGAAAAAATTAAACAAGCGGTTATGTATTTTTAATAGCTACTCATTCATTGTTTGAAATATGGGTTGGAATACTACAGTTAAGAGCATCTCATACCCCTTACTGCTAATACAGCACACTGTAAAAATTGGCCACACCTGTACCATCTCAAACCACATGTATAATGAGTAAAACATGAAATCAAAACTATACCTGGAGTGTGTATTTGATATACAGTTAGATGAAAGCCCCACAGCTTGTCACTTTTAATCTAGGTTGGATACAACTGTAGTAAATTCATTGTATGTACAATCATGCCAGATTGGCATGTGGATGGAGTATGTGATTTATTAGATTTTTTTTATTTTTACCATTGTTTAAATCTGTTACACTGAAAGTACAATATATTTAACATATTGTCACTTGATTTTAAAAAGTTTACAAGTGTAAATCAACAAAGTAGATCCTGATATTTCCGTAGACCTTTAACAGAAAAAAAATTCTTTTCCTTTTAAGTTACTATTATATTCAGTTGAGACCAGTTATTCATGAACATGTTGGACAAATTCTGCAGTTAGTATTCATTTGGACTTTTCATGAGTCATGAGTGAATAGACTTCAGGATTCTTCTTGTTTTTCAATATAACCCTCAATTTCTGACATCTCGGGAGGAGAGCCAGAAACTGCCAGGAGAAGGGCAAGAAGAGACCCTGGTGCTCAAACCAGTTGTTCCATGGCAAATCATAAATACCAAATAATTCATTTCTATCTCTGTCAAGACATAATTTTCAAAACCTTGCTGTTGTGCATTCCCTGTTAGCAACTACTGTTTATGCCTTCACTGTGGTGAGCTCTTAGCAATTATTATTCAAAAGAGGATGTGGAATGACCAGTTCATGCAGAATCTGAAAAGTTAATCTTCTGCTCCTAAGAAAAGCCTGTGCGATTAAGTAATTGCAGATAGTGTGTCAAAAACTACAAGTAAAATAAAAGGGTAAGAAAATATCTACCGCATCTCATTATCTCTAAGGGCTTGTCTATGCAAACAGTAACTGTGCAACAAGCTTCTCTATGAATCTACCGTGCACTAGACTTCTGTGGTCTAACTGTTCACATGCACAATGCTAACGAGCATTAACCATTTTGATAAGGCACATTGAGGTAGTCCTATTTCAAAGAGGACTAGATCAAAGTAGAAACGTGCAGCAGACAAGCACCGGGCACTTGCCATAGACTCATTTTTATGTGTAGACAAATCCTTAATAAATATTTGTTACAGTTCTTTCTGAAGTCAATCAATAATATCCTTGTCTTAATGAAGTCTAAGAGTTTTGCCTCTGACTTATATAGCATCAAGATTTCACTCCATATATACACATAGGTTTGGTTTTTGGAGGACTCCATTTCTTGGAACTGTTAAAAGATCTATGATTTAGTATCAGTTACGTCTTCATTCTTATGTTCCCTGCTTACAAAGAGCATAAGCATTTTCAGCAATATAATCCTAAACAGCTGGAAAACCATGGAAAGCTCCTCATTACCAAGACTATAAATGACCTTGCGTTGATTATTTACAATAAGTCAAATTTATTGATCAATGAAAAAACATTTACTCTTTCCTGAAACTAACTGATTTTGTAGGTTACTGACTGAATGAAGCAAATGAAGCACACATAAGCCAAATTACAATAGAAGAGAGAGCATGGAGTGCTGAGCAAGTCCCATGATATTAAAGTGGGTGAGGTACCGTAATATCTTTTATTGTACCCACATCTGTTCGTGAGAGATACAAGCTTCCTAGCTACACAGAACTCTTCATCGGGTCCAAAGAGCTCTGTGTAGCTTGAAAACTTGCCTCTCTCTGGGTCCAAAGAACTCTGTGTAGCTTGAAAACTTGCCTCTCTCACCAACTGAAGTTAGTCCAATAAAAGATATCACCTCACCCACCTTGCCTATCTAATGGAAGAGAAAGTGACACTTAACTTGCATAAATTAAATGTAGGGGAAACCGTATCTCAAAATAATATTGAGTCAGGTGCAAGCCCAGAAAAGCAAACATGCACTCTTTTGTGCTTATATACCCTATAGTCCTGCCTAGAGCAGGGGGCTGGACTTGATGACCTTCTGAGGTCTCTCCCAGTTCTATGGTTCTATGATTCAGTAAGAGTTAGCTAAAAGAGACCTGTTAAAGTACCAGCACAAATGGACTAAAAGGTGAGTGCTTCTGATATAACTCAAATTCATTGTGAGCGTAGATTCAATTATGTCAGGGAAAGGCTTCATGATCAACTCTTGATTTGAATGCATATTTGTGTGTAAACCGACTATTTGGACATGTCCTTCCTTCGTATTTAAAAAGTAAATTTAAACATAAGCAGGAAGATAGCCAATTGGCAATCAATTAAAATACTTTAAAGATTGAGCAGGCCCAGGTATGTGCTACAGAACTTTTCCAATAAAAGTGAAAAGCTTAAGGTCTTTCCGATTTTTTTGATTCATAGCCAAAGAATGAGCTGCTCTTTTCCATGTATCTTCCACTTTCTTTCTCGGTGATTAGGAAGAAGGTACTATTTCTGTCTGGAAATCCTTTGGCACTTGGGTTAAATTGTAGCCAGCTGCCAGACATGCCTAAGAGCACTGTAGGATAAAGAGAAAACAAGAGTGTGTATTCATATTAGGGTATATATCTGGAAATAAATATTAGCAGTAAAGTAGGGTATGCCAGACCTAATCTCCTAGGATCAGTTCATGACAAGGAGTTATCACCTACACAGAAATTTCAAAATTCAAGAGGCCACATGTTCCCAATATCTGCCTACTTAAGACGAGGAATTGTTCAACCTGTTTTCTAGTTACCCTGATGTGTTTGAGAAGACTCAGGTTTCCTGGGTCTTTAAATTATACATTGTTGCAGGCACCCTAAATATACTGTCTCCCTGGACAAATTCATATATTCTTTATGACAGCATACCCATGAGGTACAATTAAAACCCCACTGAAAAGTAATTCTTTTGCAAAAGTAGTAGACATTTTTAAAATTGAATATATTAGCTGTTTTGAGCAGAGGAGTGGTCCAGAGCTAAAAATATGGAATAAGGGACCATTCAGTGCTTCCTGACACAGGGGTAATGACCATGCTCTCCCGTGTCTGTTGATATCAAATATGGAGGCTGTGAACCACACAGTGCTGCAAGAACATCCTGCACATTAACTAACTGTTCTGAGTTCTTTGACATTTATGGGCAGCTGCAGCTCCTGTACAGACCACATGCCTTGGGTCTGCAGCTCGCTTCCCAGGTAAGGTCTGAAGCTTCCATGCTTAGTGACATCGAAGGCTTTGGACCATTGAACAGGATGCCAGTGAGGGCTGTCTCAGGATCGACTGCAACATGGTCAAAATTGTTGGGGTAAGAGTGATAATCTTGTTGAGGTGATCTCTGGCAAGGATGTACACCATAGATAGCCATTGCAGTAGAGGCCACATAGAGGTTTGCAAGACTCACGTCATATGTGCATGTTGCCTTATGGCCCAGCAGTGCAGACAAATTCACACCATTGCGATGGAAAACTCAAAGAGTCCTGCTATGAGATCTCTCATCATCAACCTTTTGCAACGGACGAACGCTCAATCTGACAGAGTCAAGAACCACTCCAATAAACTCTATTTGTTGCATGAGAACTAACTTGGATTTTTCCATTTTCCACCAGATTGAGACATTAACAAATATCCAACGATAGCTTCCTGGATTGGCAAGCTCAACTGGCCCCTGATCAGACGGTCATTGAGATACAGATTTATCAGGATACTCTGATGTCTGAGGTAAGATGCCACCACTGAGATGCATTTTGTGAACACCTTCAGTGCTGTCACCAGGCCAAAGGGGAGCACGGCAAACTAGTAGAAATTGGAAACCACCATAAAACAAAGGAAGCAGCAGTGGCTTCCTATAAAGAACAACATACCAGTCACTCCAGGAAGGGGAAGATGGAGGCCAGGGAGGCCATGTGGAACTTCAACTTTGCTAGATACATGTTGAGATCTTGCAGCTCTAGGATGGGGCATAGCAACCCCATCCCTCTTGACCTTTGGTATTGGAAAGTATCTGGAGTAGAATCCCTTGCCTCTGAGGTCTGGGAGGACTTTCTGTTCTACCCCCAGTTGCAGTAGGGTTTATACCTCCTACCAGAACATTCTCATAAGAGGGGTCCCTGAACAGGAATGGGGAAGGACGGTTGGGTGAGCAGTAAAAATTAATTGAAGAGTATAGCCTTGTGCAACTGTGTTGAGGACCCCACAATCCAATGTTATGGATGCCCAGGCTGAGAGAAAAGAAGAGAGACAGTTGGAGAAATAGGAATAGGTAAAATCCAGGAAGGTGACTAGGATGTTACCCTTAGGTTCACCCTCAAAATGGAATTCAGACCTTGTCGAGAACAGGTGAAGCCGGCCTGGTTGAGGCAGGAGACTGGTGGCTCTGCCAGCACCAGTATACCATTGACTTCTTTGTGGCAGGATCCTGATTAGACTGGCCACATTGTTGGTGCAGAGGTTAAGGTTTAAAACAATTCTGCTGCTTCCCTGGAATGGTCAGGCCTAGTCTTAAACATAGTGCAGGAATCCCTCAGATTGTGCAACTTATCTATTTCCTGCTTAAACAGAGCACGACCTTTGGAGGGGAGGTCCTGAATGGACTGCTGGACATTTGCTGACTGCCCTGACGACTGGAGCCACTCTTCTCACTGTCTGGAGATGGCAGAAGCCATAGTCTCTGTCTCACAGACCACCGTGTCCAAAGCCACTTGCAACACGGCTCCTGCCAGTTCCTGCCTTCCTCCAGAATGGCCTGGAATTCCTTTCTCAAATCTTCTGGGACTGAATTGGCAAATTTGGCCACTGATTGCCATCTATATTACAGAAAAGTTTACACTTGTGCACCAGTATGAACAATTCTCTTGTATTGGCTGTTTCATTTTACTCTTTGAAATTTAAAAAATAAATCTTAACAAGTGATACTAAAATGGCTGGGTACCTCAAATGCTTAACCTTTCCAAATTAATCTGCATGTTAAATGCCCTGAAGTTATAAGTGGGAAGCTAAGAAATAGCAGGCTTCACCAAATAGTAATCATCAATACATTATCCCTATATCAGTTCACAGTAAATGTCTGATTTAGCTAATATTCAGTATGAGCCAATAAAGTGGTTTCTACAGTAAGAATTGAGTACCAAAGACTTCAAATTGCAGGCATGCAGTTTCTTAGATGGTCACTCCTCTACCATCTCTCAATGAATCACTTGATCTGGACAAAAGAGCTGCTGTTTGACAACTATTTCCAAACACGGATAAAATAGTATGCTTAAGCAATGAATAGATTTTGCAGTGTCTTTAGGATTTTATTCCCACCTGACCTCTAATTTGCAAGGAAGTAAACTGTACAGTTGAAGAGCTTAAAACCTACTGCAGAGAGACTCAAATCATCTGCTCCTCCAAGAATATGGTAAAAAACAATCTGTGAGATATGTATTTTGCAAAGTACTTTTCAATAAAGAGTATTTACTCATTTTTGCTAACAATGTATTTAACAATTAAAACAATACAGAACAGCACTAAATTGCATTATGAAAGCTGTAAGGGTTGTTAACAGTTACAGAATATCATTGCTGTAATGCATATTCAAGGTGCCATTTAATTCCTTTTGAGTGAAAGAGCAGGCTTTTGCAATCACAAGTCATCACAATAACAATGCTCTAATTATGTTTGACGGGCATATGTATCATGATTACAACAGCAAAAGCAAAAAAATAAAAGATTTCTTGGGGCTTTCCTTTTAAATGTAGGGCAATCATGTGTAAACAACAGAAAGCTGATTCCATGCTGTATATTTTCTATTTCTGGACAAAATCTCTGAATTACGAAATCTTCTACATACTATGTCAGGCAATAATCTCTCTGTCAATGGATGGATATAACAGATGTTATTAGATAAAGTTTTTCAACCCAACCCCATGTTAAAGATTTCCTAGAAGGATTCAGAAGCATTTTCATCTGCTCCATATCACAAAACAATCTCATTGGACCAAATATATAACTCTTTTTCAAAATATTATCTTCCACAAACAAAAATAAACCTACTCACAATAATTTAGGGTTCATATTTTCTGGGCTAGGTCAAAAAATGGAAACAAATAAGTACTTGCAGAAATTTTTAGAAAGATGAGGTAAATCTAATATTAAATGAGAAGCTGTAGATGTTCACCCAGTTTTTGAATACCATACTTTGAAGAGAAGAAACTGAAAGTCCTTTGATCCAGACATTCAAGTGAATGTGGACAGAGGATAGATTTCAAGTGGTAGGCTGTCACTTTATTAAATTTAACCCCAGAATACCTCATTTCCTAACATCAGGCATTTAAATAGTTCCAATGCAATATGTAAAGGGATCTGATCTAACCCATAAATCAGGATAAACGCTCCACTGTCTATTTCTACATTTCAGCTTATTATTCTGAATCTTCTCATCTTCCCATCTCCACAAAAGGGACAAAAGGTACCAAGGAGGGACCCCGGCCACTGTAAAGACTTTCAGTCCCCTCTTTTCACGTAAGGCTGACATCTGACAGCAAAATCCTAGGCCTCTTATTTCTGGGCATCGGCCCTTTTGGATGAACTAAACATTCATATAATACTTAATATCACATTTCTAACAACTATGCCTAGCTGGCTCTCCATGATGCTGTGAAAAAGGAAAACAAGGGTCTACACTGACAGCATGGTGGATAGTAACTGAACCCCCCCCCCCCCCTTGTGTGAAATAAGGCAGTATTACCAAACTTTTTTATATTGTGGACCAGCCAACCCAGTCACAAACTTTCGGTGGACCAGCAATACTTTATTTGCATATTCCTTATGCAAAAGAATATGCAAATGTGCAAATAAGATATTGCTGGACTGCCAAAAGTCCTGGTCCCTAGAGCTGCTGTGAATAGCCGGCTTCAGCTCTGGCTGTCGCCACATAGCAGGCAGCTACTGCTGCTGAAGCCAGCTGTTCGCAGCAGCTATTGGGTATGTGGTTTGGGTACATCATGTTGAGTCTCCCCAGTGCCAGCCCTAACCACTTGAGCCTTCCCCTCCACTGCCCCCAGCACCAGCCACTGACCCCAGAGTCCCCTGCATCCAATCTCCCCAGAGCCAGCCTCCTGTCCTCAGAGCCCCGCAGTGCTAGCCCCCATCCCAAATGTGCCAGTCCCTCATCCCTTAAAGCCCCCCCAACTCCAGACTCCCCAGTGCCAGACTGATGTTTCCAGAGTCCCACTGCACCCAACCTCCCCAGAGTCCCCCTAGTGCCAGACCCCAATATTAGCCCCATCATGAGCCCAATCTCCCCAGAGCCAGCCTCCTGTCCTCAGAGCCCCGCAGTGCTAGCCCCCATCCCAAATGTGCCAGTCCCTCATCCCTTAAAGCCCCCCCAACTCCAGACTCCCCAGTGCCAGACTGATGTTTCCAGAGTCCCACTGCACCCAACCTCCCCAGAGTCCCCCTAGTGCCAGACCCCAATATTAGCCCCATCATGAGCCCCCCCAGTACCAGTCCTGCCCCCTTGCCCCCTCACTACTAGCTCCACAGCCAAAGCCCCAGTGCCAGCACCCCACCTCTCTTCCACATGTGGAAGGAAACCTGCCCCTGGCACTGGTTGGCTGAAAGCAGGGCAGGACACACCTCTCTCAACAGCCGTGGTGGGAGGGGAGGTGCTGGGCAGTGTATCCCAGTGTCACCACAGTCCGGCAGCCAGCAGTTTGTGGCCCAGCACTGGGCCATGGACCAGTGGTTGGGAACTGCTGAAGTAAGGAGTGGTAACTAGGTAACAAAGGGTGGCAACGTGATATGGCAGGAGTGATATGTAACTTATTTGTAACTGTGTATAAAAGTGTACCTCGAAAGGTGGTTGTAGACTGTCCATGGAGGCAATGGTGAATCCATAGTATTGATTGGGTGTTAGTCCATTGTTGTGGTGTACATAGGAATAGTGGTGCAGCAGCATGTCTGTTCACTGATAACTATTATTATACTTCGCAATAAACATGGCCAGGTGCTTTTGGTCCTTGTCTGATTTGTGTTCTCTGAGGGTGTTCTCCAAGTCTGTTGTGTTGACTAATTGCACATGGTTAATAGGTTAGATAGACATCTGTCAGGGATGGTGTAGACAGAGCTTGGTCCTGCCTTGAGGGCAGGGGGCTGGACTCGATGACCTCTCAAGGTCCCTTCCAGTCCTATTATTCTATGATTCTATGATTCTATGTTAAACAGTACCACACAAACGCATGCATGCAGCAGAAAGTTTATCATCATTAACAGAGCTGAAGACCTGTCAGGAACCCATCAGGATGGCCTGATTGACAACAACAGTCACCTGAGAAAACTGATGTTTTACCATGGTTCTACTGGGCACTTCCTCGGCTATTCAAAAGATAAACATTTCTTCTGAAGAAGAGTTTGAAGGGGGCATGGGTAATGGGTTATTCCAGACCAAGGATGTTTTAATTGTAATTAAAGAGGGTGGAAATCTCCCAATCCCATCTTCTATTCAATTACTGTGACCGCCCACAGCCACAGGCCCTCCCATTTCTTTACTTACTAGCTCCACAGCCATGGAGCCAGCCCACAGCCCCAGGCCCTCCCATTTCTTTACTTACCAGCTCCACAGCCATGGAGCCTCTCGGCTCCTATTGGCCACAGTTTGCTGTTTGCAGCCAAGTGAAGCTGGTAAGAAAACCAATGGGAACAGCCTGTTAGCTCTTTCAGAGTGGGCCTATGACCCACTTTGAGAAACACAGGGCTAGCTGAAAAGTGAAACTTTTCACTGAAGGTTAACATATTAATATTTTCATGTAAACATAGCCCTATTTTAGGAGCTGAAATTCACCAATTAACATCCATTCCTCCTGAGGGTAAATAAGGTCTCCGCTAGGGGAGAATTTTGAATGGAAGCATGAAACTTAATTTATTCAGACAGTACCTTTATAGATATAGATTTTCGAAAGAGAATGTTTTGCAGCAATTCACAGGAAGATTCTCTTAGACTTGCTATCAACAGGTGCTTAGAATATACTAATACTGTAATTACATAGTTTATATAGCCTTGGTAAGCTAATGATGAAATTGACTATTTGTTTTCAGTGGGATCACTCAGGAACCCTTCTTCTTTCATCAACTTACTCTTTCCTTTATTCTCATCATCTCTGAAGTTGTATATCATGGTTACATTCACAGGGCAAAGAGGACTAGAGATGCAAAACATGGGTCTTTCTCTAGGGCCTGGATGGAAAACCAATGATACCAATCCAAAGTGCTGGAAAGAGACAATTGGACTCTTGCCCCCTAATGCTGAGCACAGTTAACCAAGTTTAAATGTGGCGTCAATTATACCCTGGAAGGCTGAAAGAGGAGCCAGTAACATGCACCATATTTAAACTTGGCTCACTATGCTCAACATCAGGAAGAGAGTCAATTATCTCTTCCAGCCATATAACACTGCCAGGTGATGAGCTGCCTCAACATTCATGTACCAACAAATAACTTTTGCAGGAACAAGTTTCCTGTTTCTCAACTTTCTATGTTTTGAGTAAAATGAACTTAGTAGATGCAATAGTACTGAACACACAGTAATAAAAAGAGGCAAAAAAATTCTCAAAAATGATTTTAAACACATTTTATTGATAGGATAGACTTGCAACATTCTTCAGCACCTGAAAACTGGCTTCTAACAGGCTGATTGTTTTATACGATGGAATGAAAAAGAATTACCAGCAAAGGAGGGGTTTTTTTTTGGTCAACGTAGTGCTATAACTTCTTGCTTGTCCCTCAGAATCTCTTCTTCTTCATCTGTGTGGCTTTCATCCCAATCTCTTAAAAAAATATACACACCACATAATTATCAACAGCTTGTGTTCAAGTTCCTCAAAGAAACAAATCCTGGTAGTATTTGTTTGGTCCTGTTTCTCACATTCATTTAATGTTAGCTTGATGTATCATATTTTAAGAAGGCATAAAAGGTGTGCAATTGGTAAATTTTATCTTAAAATATCCCTTTGGCTAAAACTAGAGCATCCATTTTTCTTCTGTCAAGTTTCTCAACTCTTTGAACTAGGCTCAGTAGAATTTTTTTTTTTTAAATAATTTCACTGGAAACCAATGTTTATTTTTAAGCTTTTTAATTTTCATAATTTAAATGTCAACAATTGTGCAAAATTATGGAGATGTCAGATAATTACAGTAGATGTTGAGATTCAAAAAATTAAAGTTTTAACACTATCAAACATAAATGGAGTGGTTAGATGTGTGATGCTCATAAAGCCAAGATCCTTAAAATCAAAGTTTAATGTTATCAAGCAGATTTTCTTTTTTCCTTGTGCAAATGTTGTTTATTTTAGACAAAATAAATTCCAATTTATGTGTATATGTTGAAATCTATGTATATCAACATTTGCTAATGAAAATCTAATCCAAAATTTATGTGTATATGTTGATATACATAGATTTCAACATTTGCTAATGAAAATCTAATCCATTCAACCCAACTTTTAACTAAGAGACAAGTATAAAAGTCCCAGAGGGGAGTGAAGAAGTCTCAGAGGGGAGGGAAGCTCATGATACCATATATATATTTGTTAGTCTCTGAGGTACTACAGGACCACTCATTTTTTTAAGTTACAGATTAACACAGCTAACTCTCTGAGACTTTTAAACATTCAAGGCACTGCATTCAGCCATATGAAGTAGAAATTCATCAACTGCACAAGAAAACTTGCCCATATCCAAACACATATTTTACCCTCCTATCCAAGTACAAACAGATTATGCCCAATGGACTACAGGTCAAAACTTCACTACAAACTATATACAGACTACAGTGAGAGATTATGCCATTCACTCTCTAAAAAACTAAGGAATCGCCTAATCACCATCCTATACAACAAACAGAAGAAAATCAAGGAGGAGTTCTCAACACTAGAGACTCTCATAAAAAAAAAACAAGCTCCTTTATTGCTCCACTCATCTGAAGAAGAGTGCTGTGCCCATAAAGGGTTCATGATAGTATAGATATATATAGTTTTGCTAGTCTCTAAGGGGTGTGTGTGTGTGTGCGCGCGCGCACGCGCTACAGGACCAATAGTTTTTTTTAACAGGAAAGTAGCGAGTCAAAACCACCTTCATTATCCTGTCTCATCTGAACCCCAAATCCCAGAATGAATAAGCTAAGTAAAAGGAATTTCATTTGTACCATTATTTTATAAAACAGTGATCAAGAAAACAATAAAACTAACGTTCGTTTTAAATAGCTTTTGCCTTGGGGGCAAAATTTCTTCTGCTACTGCTATTTAATTTGAAATTTTTGTTGAATTCCCTATTGACATGCACCTGCTTCATTATTAACAACAGAAATTGTAAAACACATTTCATTTCCAAAACATTATACTAAGTTTAACTAATCCTTTGATGCATAATCATTATTATTTCTATTTTAAAGACGAGTTAATGGTGGCACAGAAACTTTTCCTATGGTCCTGCCAGACAAAGGATTTCTGGTTTCCCAGCACATGCACCGTCTGCATGCTGCACCATGACATTTGACAAACAGTTACAGAATCAGTGTTTCTAATTAACCTATGCCTCTTGTTTAGTTGAAATACAGTTTCTGCAGCAAACTGTTAAGGACTTTCAATTAAAAGATGATATTTTTATTCATCTTTTTAACACGGCAAGGTATTTAAAACCAAAACTCAACATTTATAATTTAAAGGCATTCACCAGCAAATTGCACTATTTTCATGATTTCTGGTAGCTTTCCTTCCCCGTGAGAGTCACAATACATTTGAGGTCTTTTATCACCTACACCTGTCCACTCAGTTCTTTCAGATAGCTACCAACCAGCAGTATCGTTCTTCTTTCCTGGCAACAGCAATCATGCAACTGCAATGGCCAGATATGGAATTCTAAGTACCATATCAGAAGGCTGATGCAGAGGACATGGTCAAATGATGGAATTGTACAATTTTATTTAGCCATCAAGCAGTGACTGAGAAAATGGAACCATCCACACTGCCAGAAAAGACTTTAAAAAAAATTCAGATCTGAACAATGTATGAGAACTAATGTTTTCCAATAAAAAATAGCACCGTTTCATTATTTTCTGAAGAAGTTGAAATTGCACAAGAAAAATAAATGCCAATAACTTTTTGTGGTTATGAAATTTCACATTTGATAAACGGGGCCTTACAATTTTATTTCTAACAAACAAAAACTCTCTCCAATCAGAGCTGTAATGAGTTAGCAAGAAATTATTTTACTGAGTTAGACAAGCAGCATATTTTTACATTTGTATTACTTCTACACCAATTTATTGCTATAATCTCAGTGACTAGGGACTATTTTTATTTTTAATAGATATTCTCTAACACTTTTCATTTTTTCATGTGTGGTGAAGGGGTGTGGTCTTGTACCCTGCTGTATGGGGAGAGAACCATAACTGCCCCCTGAGTAGGCAGCCACCCTCCCAGAAGCACAGGGGCAGGGCAGGAACAGGAAATATAAAAGGCAGGGCCCTCAGCTCAGTGGAGGGAGAGCTACCAGATAAGGAGGGTGTTCCTCATCTTTGCATGGAGTTTGCAGCAGATGTAGGTCGCTATAGTGCCAGAGAACCAAAGGAATTGCCAGAACTGTCAACCACCAGCACCGAGCAATTGTTGGAGCCACCACAAGCTGTTTACTCCTGCGAGACAGACAGTAATTCTGGACCCCAAGTGCCTTCCAAATAAGATGTGTAGGAAGGAGCCCAGGGAAGCCAAACAGGATTTAGCTGTGTTACTGATTATAAGCCAGCCAGGGTGTTATGGTCAGATTTCCCCACTGACCTGCTAGCAGATGACTCCGTCACTGGTAGGGATCTAGACTGGCATGGAGTGGAGCAGAAGGGCAAGTGTCCCCCTACACTCTGCCACTGACCATCACTTTGGTGTCAGGAGACCTGCATTGGTCTGGCACTGTCTGAACTTGGATGCCAGATGGTTTGCTCTCACATTAGAGACCTAATCTTCCCTAGACTATTGAGGTGCCCTCCCTGACCGCTGAACTGATTGTTGATCTGCTCTGACTGAACCCCTGGGCAAATAAACCCACTACTGTTCTGCCTGACTGAAGGCCAGAACTCCCTACTGAACTGATGCCTAATCCTGATTGAAGGGCCAAGTAGATAGACTCATTGCTGTTCTCCCAGACCATAAGCCAGAGCCATTCAATATGCGTCGCCCCGCTCTTATTGAGGGCACTGGGCCTATAGATTTACCGCTGCTCAGCCTGACTGCAGGCCCAGAATACTAACTGTGAGCTAATTCTCTCCTGAACCCAAGTAGTCTGGAAACGTCATAGTGGAGGGAATAATCTTTCCCCCTCACTAATGCGAAAGGATCTATGACCGCTTTATAACATGTTATATTCACTCTCATTTAACAAAACATTATGCAATGTAACTTAAAATTGTTAGGACATTTTTAAAATTCTTTTACTATATTGATGGGATTGTTGTAAGTTATTCAGATAAAATACATACTAATAATTATCCTTTTTTGGAAAATATGTCTACAAGAAGGAGCTTGCCAGTCAAACATTATACTATTCAGCTAAAAAATAATCAGCCAGTTTAACTTACCCAAAAATAGCAACTTTACTGTGGTCTTTTATTTCTAGGTTATTATGAAAATCTGTAATATTTTCACTTATCTTCTTTGAATGTTGGCTGAAAGCAGATAAGTCTTCAGGAGTAAAGCTGTACAGTTTTTCCTGAGGATCTGAAATATTTTATGTCATTTTCAATAATCTACATATCAAAAGTGCAGTACCTACAATATATGATCTTGAAAACTTTATCAGAACAGCACAGACATAAAAACAAAAACAAGAAGCCATTAACATCAAAATGATAAAATACTCTGATTTTGAACGCTACTGGAAACACAAATTAATTCTAAATTTGTATTATATAGCTTCATCAGTGTTTTTAATATTTTTAAGAGCTCATAATAAGGACAACACACCACAACTTAGTGCCTGAAACCTAGGGTCCATCCACAGTTTTCACAATAGTTGCAAAAATTCCTGGAGTTTTGAAATACCCGATATAGACAGGGTAGAGAACTATTTTTTGCTAGTTCACAGAACTTCAAGAACACTAAGCAACATTGATCTTCACTCCTAGAGATACATATGCACCAAAAGTAGTCCAGAAAAAAAAGTATTCAATCATCTCTTTGCACCATTAATTGTCCCTTAAGTAAAGAGTTTTCATAATGTTGGTCGTTAAAAAAAACAATCCCCGGAGGAAGTGTTTCTTTGCCAACACTGCCAAATAAACTGGCATTTATCATATGGAAGATGATGCATTAAGACGGGTGACACATGGATCAGATCCAGTCTGACAGGGTTAACTCTTGATGGACCCCCATCACTATATTTAGCCGCACAGCTACAAGTACCAGCAATCGCAGCTCCCTTTGGCCACAGATTGCCATTCCCGGCCAATGGGATTTGCAGGTAGTGGTGTGCCAGTCCGCCTTGCTTCCCAGCACTCCCATTGGCTAGGAATGGTGATCCATGGCCAGCGGGAGCTCTGATTGCTGGCACCTTTGGCTATGCAGGTAAATATAGTGGCAATAGCCCATCAGGGACTATCCTTGGAGAAACACTTCCATGTGATTGCCCACCCCTGAATTAAGATGATGATTTCCGTCTTGGCCTCATTTTTTCTTTTGATTTGATCTTGGCTGCAGTCATTTGCTGTTTCGCAGGCAGCTATTAAAAAAACCCTCATACCCAGAGGAAGTACCTGACCCAGAATGTCAGAGTTTGTTTACAGAAACAAAGGAAGTCAGAGATCCGTAAGTATAAGATCTCTGTGACTTGTTCCTATGGAACAGAGCTGAAGATTATGTGATGATTGAAAATAGGAAGATCATCTTATTAAGCCAGAAAAGTAAAGTTCTGCATAGCCAGAATGATGTGGGCACTACATGCTGGATCAGTTCTTTAATTTTTCAAAAATCAGAGCTTTACTAACGATCATGAACACAACAATAACAGTTTGCTTCACATTTTTGCATGCATAAGCACTGTTGCATGACATTTATGTAGTCACTAGAGATAATTACCTATTTGACTTTTTAGTTCATTTTCCAAGCCAGCTAAGGCTTGTTGATCAGCAGTATATTCTAAGAGAGGGTCATTTTTTTCAGATGATTCAATGGATTCAATTTTTGAAATTGTAATAGCTGGTCTAGATAAGGGCTGAGTAGTTAAACTTCTTGGTCTTCTCTGAGACAATGAACAGTGAATACGATCACACTTCATTGATTTAGAGGGTGGTATATTTGCTGACAAAGGTCTTCGGAAACTATTTTTATCTGGAAAAAACAAAAAAATGTGATTATGAGTAAAAATTTTAGATGTGTAACAGAATTTGATCTCGCTGTCATTTTCTCTAAAGTAATGAATCAGTCTACGCAGAATTTGATTTTTAAATAATTTTGATAGATAATATTGATGTTTAGATTTTTAGTATTTTTATCAATGTCAGTTTTCGCAGTTGTACAAAATTATTGGAAGGCATGGAAAGAGGGAGTCGGAAAAGTACAGTAGATGCTGAGATTCAAAGAAATTTAAGCTTTATAATCATTATAACACAAATGCTATATTTTGACACTTGATGGTGATAAAAGTAAGTATTCTTAAATCCAACTCTAAAGATCCTGAGAAGGAATTTAATTTTAACTGACAAAAATATCTTTCATTTGTTTGTTATGTGTGCAGTGACAAAGTTGGTCAATACAAATCTAATTATTCCCAGTGTAAAGCGAAGTTACTCACCTAGGTGCAGTAACTGTCGTTCTTCGAGATGGTCTCCATCAGTGCTCCACTGTAGGTGCTGGGCTTGCCCCGGTACCGCAGAACGAAGACTTCTGAGTAGCAGTACTCGGCTGGACCATGCATGCATGGCTGCATCCCGTGGCGTTCATGCTCTTTTATGTGCTCGCATGGTCCGGCCCCCTCCAGTTCCTCAAAACCACCTCGGAATCTGTAAACAGGAGAAAAAGAAGGAGACAGACTCCGAAGCAGGGAGGAGGGCGGGTAGTGGAGCACCCACGGGGACCATCTTGAAGAACGACAGTTACTGCACCAAGGTGAGTAACTTCACTTTCTTCTTCGAGTGGAGTCCCCAAGGGTACTCCACGGTAGGTGACTAAGCAGCAGTACCCTCATGAGCCGGAAGGTAGGATATAGAGTCCCTGTTTGTCTGCTGATGAGAGCACTGCTGATGCCACCGCAGCATCTCTGCAAATGTCTTTTAGAGAAGTGCCATTGAGAAAGGCTGTTGATGCTGCCATTGCTCGTGTGGAATGTGCTCAGAGTTGTGTTGAGAGTGATAACCCCTTAGAGGCGAAAGACTGTGTTATACACGTGGTTATAAGTTTAGAAATATGCTGGGGTAACAACAGTTGTCCCTTAGTTTTGTCGGCCAGAGAGACAATTAGCCGGTCGGTTTTCCTAAAACATCTCATGCAGTCTATATAAAAGGCGAGGGTTCTACCAACGTACAGTGTATGGAGAGACATTTCACGTGGTGAGGAGTGAGGCTTAGGGTAAAAAGATGGCAGGATAATAGGTTTTTTGATATGGATGGTCGAACAAACTTTTGGTATAAATGCTGGATGAGGCCTTAGGACTACCCCGTCTTGGTTAAAGATAGTGTAGGGCGGTGTTGTCATTAGTGCTGATAGCTCGCTGACTCTGTGTGCTGATGTAATTGCAATTGCAAGGAGGAAAGCTAGTTTCATGGTTAAGGTGCGCAAAGGTATGGTAGCTAAGGTATGGTTCAAATGGCGATGTGGTTAGCGCACTCAAAACAATGTCCAAGTTCCATACTGGTGAAATAGGTTTACGAGGAGGACTTATATTCGAGAGACTTTTCATGACTCTCTTAGTCATTGGGTGGGTGAAAAGGGAGGTTTCCTTGATAAGCTGTCTAAAGGCTGAGATCGCCGCCAAGTGAACTCTGAGAGAAGCTAATGCGAGGCCTGTGTTTTTTAGATGTAGCAAGTAACTGAAGACAGAGAGGTAAGGCGTGGAATACGGGAGCAGTTGCTGCTCGGTACACCAGGAGGCAAATCTGCACCATTTTGAGAGGTAAGTATTTCTCGTTGTCTGCTATCTACTGTGAATTAGTATGTTTTAAAGCTGAGTACAACAGAGGGATTTGGCAGGATTCAACCAACTAGGAGCCATGCCCTGAGTCATAAGGTATGTATTTGGGGATATCATAGTGTCCCTTGATTCTGAGTGAGAAGGTTTGGAAGGGTTGGCAACTGGTATGGTCTGCATGGTAACATGCATTGAAGAAATGGGAACGAGTCATATTAATAGCACCACGAGCCCATGCTGGTGCTATTAATATGACGGTGGCGCTGTACACCACGAGCCCACGCTGGTGCTATTAATACGACGGTGGCGCCGTCCGTTTTTATCTTCTGCAGAACTTTGGGGATGAGAACTGTAGGTGGGAATGCATAGAGGAGGGGTCCGCTCCAGTTGAGGAGAAAAGCGTCGCCCGAGGGAGCCTTGACTGAGTCCAGCCCTGGAACAGTACTTTTGACACTTGGTATTTTGGCACGTGGCAAAAAGGTCTATTACAGGAGTGTCCCCTCCCCCCGTTGGAAGAGAGTATGGAGCATTCTGTTGTGCAATTCCCACACGTGCTCTGGTGAAAAATTTCTGCTGAGGAAGTCTGCCCAGATATTCAAGGCTCCAGGTAAGTAAGAGGCTACTGGTGTTATGTCGTTGCAAATGCACCAGTTCCAAAAGTGGATAGCTTTCGTGCAGAGGGAGCAGGAGCGAGCTCCATCTTGGCGGTTCACATAATACATCGAAGCAACATTGTCTGTGAGGATCCTCACTGTGGTATTGCGGATATGACTGAGGAAAGCTCTGCAAGCATTGAAGATTGCCCGAAGCTCCAGGAGATTTATATGGAGTCATGTCTCGGAACGTGAACAGTGACCTTGGATTGAAATGTCATCCATTTGCGCTCCCCAGCCTAGAAGGGAGGCTTCCATGGTTATGTGATGAGATGGTTGTTGTGAATGAAAAGGCACGCCGGCAAGGAGGTTCGCATGGTTCATCCACCACTGGAGCGATTGGGTAACAGATGGTGGAGTGGTTACCGACCTGTGAAGGTCGTGTTTTGTGTGGTTGTATATGGTTGCTAACTAATACTGAAAGCTACGAAGATATAGTCTGGCATAACGGACTACATAAGTTGTAGCTGCCATGTGGCCAGGTAAGTACCTGGACGGATGGACTGCCTTGAACATGAGGTCTTGGATAGTCTGGAACTCTATGAGGTCTTGGATAGTCTGGAATCTCTGAATGGGTAAGTATGCTCTTGCTGTGATCACATCTATACGGGCACCAATGAATTCCAACTCCTGAGTCGGTTGAAAAATGGACTTTTGGTTGTTTATGAGTAGCCCAAGGGCATGGAAAGTTCTCATGGTGGTCTTAAGCATACCGAGAATATCAGTGCAAGAGCAGCCTTTCAGTAGGCAATCGTCCAAATAGGGGAATATGATAACTCCTTCTCGACGGAGGTGTGCCACTACTACCACCAGGATTTTTCAGAATACCCTGGGGGCGGTGGAAAGGCCAAAGGGTAGAACCCTCTATTGGAAATGACTTGTTCCGACTATGAATCGTAAGAATCATCTGTGCACCGGGTGGATTGTGATGTGGATTGTGAAAATACACGTCCTGAAGGTTGAGATGGAGTGTGACGTGGAATGTGAAAATACACGTCCTGAAGGTTGAGGGCTGCAAACCAGTCATGTTGATCTAACACAAGTATTATCGAAGCGAGGGTCACCATTTTGAAACGTTTCCGTAAGAACTTGTTCAAGTTCCAGAGATCTAATAATAGTTGCCATGCGCCCGACTTCGGGAAATAACAGGAATAGAATCCCGTCTCTGAATTGTGCTGGAACTGGTTCGATCGCACCAATGTAGAGAAGTTGGTCGACTTCGGTGCGCAGCAGGGATTCTTGAGATGGGTCCCTGAAGAGGGAAAGGGTGCGGGAGATGGGGAACTGGAAGGAATGGTGACGAAGGGTATGGAGTATCCTGATTGGATTATTTCTAACACCCATCTGTCTGTGGTGATTGAGGCCGATTGATGGTAGAAGGACCTCAGGCAGTGAAAATATTGGTGACCTTGGTGACTTTTGCTGGTATTTGCTTTTGTCTGTGTACCCTCGACCGAGGCGTCAAACCTGCTGTTTGGTGTTCATTGAGGTGTGGGTGAGATTCCCCTGGTTTCGACGCCTCTGTGGTCTTTGTTCCGTTGGTGATCAATGGCCCTCTGCTAGTTCTGCCATTGTTGTCGGACGTAAGGGTAGTCATAGCGTCTCTGATATGGGGGACAACGTCAACGGCTATACCAAGGGGTGTACATACCCAGAGTCTGCAGAGTTGTGCGAGAGTCCTTGGAGGAGTGTAGCACACAGTTGGTTTTCTCAGAAAATAGTTTCTACCTGTCGAACGGCAAATCTTCGACTTTAGTTCGGAGGTCTTTGGGGACTGTGGCCGATTGAAGGTAAGATGCTCATCACATCATTACCGCTGAGGCGGTGGATCTTGCTGCTGTGTCTGCTACGTCCATGGCTATTTGTAGGGCAGTTCTGGCTGATGTGTACCCTCTTGGACCACTGATTTGAGTATGGGCCACTTGATTTCCAGCAGATGGTCTAGCAGGAGTGTGAGTTTCATGAAATTGTCAAATATCAGGTTAAAAAGGTGTGCTGTGTAGTTTGCTTTCTGGAGCATGAGTGTCAGAGATGTGTACACCTTCCTATGAAGTAAGTCCAACTGCTTTACATCCTTGTCGGAGGTATGTCTATACTGAGGGGCTTTCGATCTTTGGTATGCTACATCCACCACTAAAAATTTCATTTGGGGAAGGGCAAAAAGGAACTCCATCCCCTTGAGTGGCACAAAATATTTTCTGTCTGGTCTTTTGCTAGTTGGTGGAGCAGAGGCCGGGGTTTGCCATAGCTCTTCGGCGACCTCAAGTATAGCTTCATCAAGTGGTATGGCTATTTTTGTTCTGTATTGAGGCTGAAGGTTTTTAAGGAGGCAGTGTTGCTTCTCTTTTACTTCATCTAGGTGTATCTCTTGGCTTATGGCTACCCTCTCGAAGAGTTCTTGAAACCGACGAAGATCATCAGGTAGTGAGATGTCTCTCAGGATTACAGCATCATCTGGTGAGGAAGAGGAACGGTCCATGGGGGGAGTTTCCTGCGGTCAGTCCTCAGTGGGGGAAAGCTGCGTATCGTTTGGTTCCGATGGCTGACATTGA